AAGTTTGGGGTGTTACATCTATTCCCTTCCCCGAATATTTGGATATGAGTTTCCTTACTCGACCATTCTTCTATTCATCATCCATTTAAAATACTCTGACTATATTAAATCCTTTCGCAATTAAGGATGAAAAGGGAGATGGTGTAGAGTCTTTCATTCCTATCTTTGATTATTAGGATATGAGTTGTCTTACCCGAGTATCTGAGTAATCGTCATTCAACAAAATATTATATTAACCTAACTTCTCGCTCTCGTGTGATTAAAACTTTTTCAAAAAGAACATTGTTTAGTCTGTTCTAATGTGAATACAAACAAACGTTTTAAGTCTCTGATTGCGAACACAAGCAACGTTTAACCATTAGAATACGAGCTAAACACTTGTTCATTAAAACACGCCAACCAACAAATCGTAGCCCCCCGAACTATGAAGCTTTGAGTTCCTCATTGTACCCGAGGATACGTAGGAACGAGACCCGCAATCTCATCAAACACTCTAATAAAAACATTTTTGCGACCTCTTTCTTTTCTCTTTACACTTTTTATTATTCAAAGAACACAAGTAACATAAGCTAACATTCAATCACAAATTTGAATAAAAGGTTCTCGTTGAGTACAACGGACGTGAGGGGTGTTAATACCTTCCCCTTGTGTAATTGACTCCCGAAACCAAATATGGTTGTGACAACCATTATTCTATTTTTAAGGGTTTTATTGATATTTTCTCATTCCTCTTTTGGAATAAATAAAACTCGGTGGCAACTCAGTTTGAATCATTTTCTCCATGACCATCGCGAATGATCATATTTTTTGAGATAAGACAATAAGATATGTGAGGTTCATGAAAGTTATGCATATATGTGAAAAGTACGACTTTGCCTATTTATACATAGGAAATGTGACTTCTATAAATTTAAAGGGATAAAAAAATCCAAGTTATAGAATATATGTTGAATGTGACTTCTATCGACCTACAACATTCATATAATTATTATTTCAACTAAACTCTAATGATAATTCTGTTGGTCAAACTACATTATAAGGTAAAAAAAAACCTCATTGATTATAATATTCTATAAGATCAAGGACCCTAAAGCAACACAATGCAATACAAAACCTTAATACAATACTTTTGCATTGGCATTTTATTTGAGAAAGAGGTTAAATCCACCGGATCAAAAAACATTTGAACAAAATGAACCTACAAACTGTAACAAAAATAGATGAACATAAAATTTAGAAAATTTCTTAATGCACCATTTATGTTTCTTAGGCACCACGTGAAAATACATAAATGTCTCAAGATTCTGGAGATGCATCTTCGGACGCACTAAATTCTAATTGAACGTTAAAATATTTTGGAGATGTATCTTCGTAACAATTTAAAACGCATAATATGCATCACACTCAAAAGACATTATACATTATATTGTACCGGAGAGCATCTCCATAAATTTTACGGAGATATATCTCTGTAACGTATCAGAACATAACTCTTCATGTTATGTTTTGTTTATGTGTATTCAAATGCAAATTTAAATCATAAAATCGAAATGCAAAAAATAACGTATATAAATCTAGATGATCCAAAAATGTCATATATAAATAAAAGACCAATAAATATAAAAAACAAAGTCGAGAACAATGATAAAGTAGCATGACGTCAAAATAAAATACAATTTATAGTACTAATACTATATATTAATGCACTATTGTGTATGTCTGACTACATCTCCTCTGCCCCTTTTTCCTCCTCTATCTCCTCGGTCATCAATCTCTCTCGTCCTCCGGCGTTGTCTCCGATACATCAATGTACCTTATGCCTCTGTCATGATGGCATCTTGGACCTGCCTCACATCAAACCCATCAGGGAAGATACTTATGTCAATACTTGCTTGTGCGATCTCTAATATGCGGTAATATCTAGGCAAGACATCTTCAACATGATCTAACTGTGTCTGCTCATCCTCTAGTATCTCCTAATTAGATGACCTCGGAGGATCTCCTGGAGTAGCATGCACCATGTATGAATGTGAGACCCTGAAGATCCATCTGATATACCCTTTGACGTAGCTCCAGTCGCTCTCAGCTATGGTACTTTGTACCTCCTCCGGTACCAGATGACTCTCATAATCATCAAACATGTCATATATCTATCTATGTGTCAAAGCATGAGGAGTATAGACAACAAGGTGTCTGAGAATGGTCCGAGTGTAGTCGAGCCACCGCATGACGCACTCGGACAAATGAGAAGTAGTGAGATGCGATCTGCTTACCAACCATCATGAGTATAGCAGTATCTCGTCAAATGGTCATGTCTCACGGTGATCAACATAGTTGTTGAAGTGAATGTACTCGACAATACAACAGTCAAGATACATTCTGAAAGGCTCAGTCGTCTGGTTCCCTCTGAACGGGAAAAAATCAGTAGCACGAGGCATATCCTCAGAGTAAGTTTGGAACACAGAATTTATCAGTAATGGATTTGCAAAAATGAAATGAAAATGACAAAGAAACATTAAAATACCAATAATTATTATTGTCAATAGTGTGATGCTGCCTGTGACCTGTTTTGTCTTCCACATACAAACCTCTCTCAACTTCGAGTACAGGTAGACCAAAGAAGTGACCCCACAATTGTACTCATGGATCAGACTGATATCCTCAAAGTACCGTAGGTAGACGACATCTGTATAAGTGGCACTCTTGTCCATAAAGATTACAGTGCCAACCAAATATAGTAGGTATGCTCTCATAGCATGCGCTCTGTAGAGTGCCACCTATTCATCATCTCCTATAGCCTGATGTGCTCCCGGGATCTCAGACGTATATATTTTCTTCAGATATTCAAATCTAGCCTGAGCACCCCTGGTTTTATCCTACTCCTCTTTTGTCGCCCCTAGATCAGTCCTCATGTAGTCTACCATCATCTCGGAAGATGTAGCAAATCCGATACATTGTCGATTGTGATAGACATCTCACTATGCGGGAGATGAAATAATGAGGTATGAGAGTGTCACCCTCCTGAAAAAAATAAAAATTAATGTCGGAAATTTTTCAATTAAAATTAACGTAAATAAAAAAGAATGAATCCAACTATTGCTACCTCTTTGTCTCAAATATGTCAGGCAGTATAGATTAGGTACATAGGCAATAATGACAAATCTACATGGCATCTTCCAAATGCCTCTGGCTCAGCATCCGCAATAGCCTCACCCTTCGGAGGTGGCACTGGATCGCCATCCTCAGTAGTAGAATGTGGCACAGACTCATAAGCATCTACAGTAGGAGGTGGCACTGGTGAATCGGGTACCTCAGGCGCGTGAATAGGGGAAGCCTGGCGTTTGCGGGAGGATGGAGGGAGTGATGCGTTAGTAGGTGAATTTCGCCTCCTATGGAAAGAAGAGGATGAAGTAGCATTAGGAGAAGCACGAGTCCTAAAAGTAGATGGCTCTGCATGCCTAGAGGGACCATGGGCCTCTGAAACCTATTGACTCTTCTCCCGCCGCACTGATGTGTGTTGTGCAACCCTCTTGTGCCTCAATCTATCATGTCTATTAGTTATTGTGCTTGTAAGTTAAAATAAAGCAGACAATTAGTGCAGGCAAACAACACCACAAGCAAGAAAATAAATAAGAAATACTGAAAAAATTCTAGAGATCCATCTTTGGAATCTAGAAAACTAAAACATTGAAAAATTTTGGAGGTACATCTTCGAAATTTCTACAACTCAGCAGTTGCGTCAATGTTGGCAATGTACTCCATGCAATCCAAAAAAAAAAAATACTTTGATCATCCTTTTCAGCTAACAAGCGTATAATACACTATGTCTAAACTATCAAACATGCAATTTCTAACTTTAATCGTCAATTTCTACTCATTTATACAAAAACTCAAACTTATCGAGAACTCTAAAAACTTACAAATTTCAACATTCCTTCATGGTTGGTTGATGTTTCTGATGTTGATTAAAGTTTCCTTGAGTTTTGTTAATTGATTTTTGACTTAGTGGTAAGAAAAAATTTGAGAGAGTTTGAATTAGTTTTGAGCAAAATGAAAAATAAGGAAGAGAAGAGTGTAGCGTGATTTAACCTCCAAAATATTTTAGAGATGTATCTCAAAAATATTTTAACATTAACTGAATCTTTAGTGCATCCAAAGATACATCTCCAAAATTTTAAAACATTTATATATTTTTACGTGGTGGATAAAAAATATTAAGAATGCATTAAGAATCTCCCAAAATTTAATCATATTGATTTGCACAACTTGCGGCAAAGGGTATGCTAGAAGTGGTGCACCAGGTAATTAGGAAAACTTAAAGGGATGGATCCCCTTAACCAATGACAAACCACAACATTGAAGCTATTTGTCACAAAACATAAGAGCCCCACAAACAGACAAACTTTAGTTCTATTTATAATTCTGACTGTAATTGCAATACACATGGCCACCGCATATCATTCAATCATCAGCAAAATCAAGTGAAATTTTAGAATAAGAAAGCATTTATGAAGCCCCCAACAACTTAACATATTTGGCAATCATAAAACTGTACAACTCAACCAGTACACGCATATATAAATGCTATTGGAAGGGAACAGATCAACTTTCTTTATTGACTACGACTACTGTCTCTTCATCATACTCCTTTACCAAACTACCAAGCAAAGAAAAACTTCTAATCTGTTGAAGGGTGATTCTAACCTGAACAACTAACTCATTTATGATTTTGCTTAGTCTTTCAATAATAATTTTTTATTAGCACGGTAAACTTGTGCTTCTTTGGCCATACAAAATACACATGATACAGGTTACACTAAATAAAAAACTAAAATCAAACTTCCAGAGTAACTAAAAATTTACCCTATGTGAAAATTGTGAAGAAAAAATTATAGAAGAAACATCCAAAAGTATGCACAACAATCTTACAGACAATTCTAACTCCACATTGTCGGCAAAAGAGTAATCCAAGGATTCAAAATTTGAAACCTAAGAATTATTTATACACCTAGAGTTCTTGTAGATTGTCTCATACTTCTACTTATGGGCAAGTGAACGTAAACCTCGTGAACGTCTTGTTTACAAACCTCTCCTCTGTCCCTGTCTATCGCATAGCAGACATATATTGTATCAATTACAATGTCGAGCACATGCACGAGGAAACCCAGGACTACTATCAGTAGAAGCCATGCTGCCGCTGCCACAAAATATGCATCAGACCCTAGATTGGTTGCTGCTTTTAAGATAACACAGGCCTGGAAAAACAAACCAGCAACAATTACTTAAATAGGCATAATATAACAATACCAACTCAACCAATGAACTGGCATACTTCTTTTCTCCCCATCCCCCATCCCCGAAAGTCTAACAAGGGATTTCTCAAACTTAAAAAGGAACATGTCATTTTTAAGAAATTATATGTCATGCTTTTTATAAGAAAATGAAGTTTCAGTAAGAAAATGAAATTTCAGCCTCAGACGATTCTCCGGTAATCTCCTCGCCTCTAACAAATGCTGTGAGATTCTTAGTCATGCTTTATGACCATGGTAGTTAAAATCCCAATTTAAATCATAAAATCCCATGGTTAATCCTATTTTTGGTGGAATAGGGTGGAATCTCCCATGTTAACAGTTGAATCATATAATCTATGATCTTTGAAACGTTTATATGATTATGTATTTATGTTTGTGAATGAAATTTAAATTTAAATAAGTATTTGAAGTGTGATTTAAGGTTTTAATTATCTTACTTGTGAGCCATGCTTATGATTAGTGTTCTGATGCCATGCCAATACTTATCATGAATTTAAATTTACACAATATTTCAAGTGATTTAAGGTTTTTTATATTACTAATCCTATTCTATATGCATATATATGAGTTTCAGAGTTTTGTATAATCTTATGATTAGAGTTACGATACCGCAATTTTACTTTCCCTTACCAATTTTACGTAAAATCTCAATTTTAAATACCTTGTTTATGACTGCCTATTAAAATTCTACTGAAGTCAACTGGAGATATGTTGCAAGTTGCCCATCAATAGTCAACGACCGTGGGTTAGAGCTGTACTAATTATCTCATACTTTGAGTCTTTACTGGAAAGACCTTGCTTCAACTCTTGCTGGTCAACCAAAAATTACACCATTTCCCTTCACACAATATAGTTCTAAGTTTTAATCTATTTAGATCAAAATCAATCCACTACTTCACCAATTTGTTTCACTGAGGATCAAGTTTTGCAAAAAAAAAAACTAGAAAAACGCAGTGAATCAAGGTGGTTTGGTAAGCTTCATAAGCTGCCCTCAAGTCTGTCATTTTGATCGTTTTAGATTCTTAATTTGGTGATTCAAATTGCTCATCTGAATTGAAACTAATACTTTGTTGTTTTACAAATGTTAGTTAAGCTTTATGGTGATACTTAAACTTAAATTTGTGTCTTAATGAATGAAATATCACAAATGAGGTTTGAGAGATAATCCTCCTATAACCACCTCCTTCTCACCTCAAAACAAAGAAACCTAAATTGGCAATGATTTATGGCTGGCAATCGAAAATGTAGAGAGGTTAATGGAAGGATATTTTTAAGTTGTGTATCAAAAGTCAGTCAATACTCAATATTCAACTATCACAAGTTAGAGCTATATATACTTCCTCATACTTTAAGAGGATTCGTTGAAATTAATGCTTACACTAAGCACTTGCACATATGGCAAATCTCTAACTTACAGTGGTAAATCTATAACGCAAAGCACAAGTATTACAAAAAGAAATTTTAAAGCCACGTACCACAATTGTGTATATTGCTGATAGGACAAAAACAATTCCAACCAGAAGGCGGGATGATATGGTCTCCACAAAAACAGCAGAGAGAAGGTTACGTCTAAGAAGTTCATATGTCATCCTTGCTGATGAGCAGTAAGCTTCACCGGTTATTGCAGCAAAGTTGATGGTAAACTTATTGAGAAAATCAACAGCTGTCAGTAAGGCATTTACACAGCACCGTAAAACAATGTTCACTAGCCCAGGAGTACCCTCTTGTCTTGCATTATCAACCACGGAACGCACCACTCGTACAACAAAGATAAGCAATCCTGACAAACATACTGTTCCAGACGAAGGACCAAAAGCATTCCTGCCAGTCAAATTCTCAGAGTTAATGTCTCTCTAAATGCAAAACAATCATTCAAATACCTATTTTCATCAGTTTCCTATCTCCCACTCAGAATTAATAACACACATCAGTGATATCACAGATAAAGGCTCATTGCTCTCTCGAACTATTCCAGCATCGAAGAAGAATTAATGTAATACCCTTTGATATGTAAACAACAACTTATTGGAGTCAAATAGAAAAACAAAGTTGTGGCTAAACACTTAAACCAACTATTCTTGTGCTAGGTTTTATAGATACTATGAAAGTACTACACATCACAAGGGAATTAGAAGATATTGTAATGCTTGTACTATGAAAGAAAACCATGATTTCTTACTTATCTACCTATCATTGAGAGAATATTTTATTACCCTTGCAAGAGTCCACCTAAAAATCGTATCAATTGTATTTTATCAATAATCAGTCATCCCTCATATCAAGTAAGATAAACTGATTAACATAATGTTTTTAAAAGAAATAATGAAGACAAAGAAAAGAGAGATAAACCTGAGTGATGTTCTAATGCTCTTTGTAGGAGTCTCAAAATCCTTGGAGAAATACCAACGAGCAATAGTTCCACTAATGACATAAACCTGAGCTTCAAGCATAGCTGCTGCTGACCACAACATAGTAAGTATTGCCAATGCAAAATAAGCTGGCACCCAAGAATCCTCCTTCCAAACACAACCATATTGACTATGCAATTTCTTAGGCACAACCTTGCCATTATACTTAGCAAACACCAAAAACACCACAATTGGCACATAATACACAAAAAGCCCAATTGTCAAACAAGGAAGCACCCCAAACAAACCCATGTTCCAAGAAAGAGCATCAGAGGCAACCCCAATTATACTCACAGTAAGCTCCACACGGTGCCAGTTCACAACAAGAATCCACACAATCACACCAATCACCAAAAAAACAAAAACCATCACAAGAATTCTATACACCAGAGGAAAAGCATCACTGCAAGAAGTTTTGATAGTGCAAGCAACGAACCAGTAAACATTGAGGAAAATCGGGATGACAATAAAGAAAGGAATCGAAGCGTAGACAAGGTGTTTGGTGTAATGCTTGAGTAAGATAAGAAGCGACCAGCACATGGGTAGGCTTATAACAAAAGTGATAACAAGCGTCCACGTTAAATCTTTCACAAAAGGCGAAGATGAAGAGAGAAAACCGGTAGACGAGGTTGACGAAAGCGAAGGGCTGATAATACTGCATGAGGTGGAATTGGAATCATAGGTGTAAGAAGAGATGGTTGAGTAGTGGTTTCTATGGAAGATTGAGAAGATTCCGAAAGCGAAAGTGGAGAGAACGAAGATGAGGAAGAGAATAAGAAAAGGAAGGTCTTTGAAAGAACGAGGACCGTGATTGTATGAGATGTGAAGATACTGTTGATTTGAGTCTGATTCTTGCTGTGAATCATGGTCTTCTAATGATGGGTATGTTGAGATTGGGGTTTTGGGTAAGAAAGGTTGTGATAACAAAGATGAAGAAGGTGGAGAGTCGTGAGCGAGAAGAGATGAATTACCTTTGTTGTTGGAATCATCCATGACTGTTGTTGTAATCTTAGGCAAGAGAGAAAGAGTTTGAAGTTTGAGAGGTTGTTTGAATGGTTGCTGGCTGAGTGATGGAATGTTGTTGGGTTTTGGTTGGATTTGGACTCAATTTTCAATCCAGAGTGGCTGGGTGGGTAATAAACTAAAAAAATAATAAAGAAAAGAATCTTCCAGTAATCTAATACTATGGAAATCTTTTAAAAAACAAAAATGGTTTTGTGAGAGTTTGGCAATCGATGATGAGAAATGACAGCAATTTTGTGTATGAATCTGGTTGGGCAGAGAAGGAAAAGGTGGTGCTGGTTTTGTCAGGTAAAAACAGTGAGCCTAGTGAAAGAATTCAATGGTTCCAAAGAGTACATTCGGTTTGAGAGTGTCATAAAGTATAAGGGGTTTGATGGTTTTCATTTTGTTAAATCTAAAATATATTTTTTAGCTTTTGGTCTCTATTTTTTTTTTTTTTAGAATTTTAGTTTCATGTAATCTAAATCCAAATTTTAATAATATGATAGCCCATTTAATAATGTATCAGTATCACATTTTAAAAAAATTAATTACATATTTTTTTAATATTTATAATTATGTTATTTATTAATAATAATTTAATAATATCAAAGATATAAGAATAAAAAATATATATTTTTAGCTTTAAAATATGTAAATTAAAATTTACGGATAACAAACAATTTTTTGTGTTGATATCTTCTAGGTCTTCTTCTCCAAATTATAAAACCTAAAACATGTAACATGATTTAAAATGGATCAGAGCGCGGACTTAATGTCGTATATCTAATTGAAGGTATGATGAAATTCACATGTATGAGTAGTTATATTGAGGAATTGATAAAGTCAAATTCTAATTCTATAGTTAAAATCCAGCGTGTTGATTCAACTAATGGTCATTTTTTTGAGAGAATATATGTATGCTTGGAATCATATAAGGCATCATTTGCAAACACATGTAGACATCTAATTGGGTTAGATGCATGCTTTTTAACAGGGGGCTTTGGAGGTTAATTGATGGTCGCGGTTGGTAAGGATGAAAATAATAAGATGATTCCAATAACATATACAGTTGTGGAAGCTGAAACAAATGACGCATGGCAATGATTTTTAAAGTTATTACTTGATGACTTACAAAGAAATCTAACACAACATTTATGGATTCATCCCAGATCAACATAAGCTATAATTTACATTATGTTAGCATTATATTACCATATAGTTTCCATTATGTTACCATATATCTTGTAATCATCTTTGCATTTTAGGGATTGATATCGAAAATTCTAGAGACAAGTCAATATGTTCAACATAGATTGTGTGTGAAACATGTATATGACAACTGGAGAAATAAATATCTTATAATAGAGTGAGTGAGGCTTTATTGATGGCAGCTTGATCCACGACAACACCTAAATAAGAGATAGCAATGAACCAAATAAAGGAACTTAATATGAAAGCATGGAAGGATATTATGGATGTAACCCCCGCGTGTTGAAGAATATCTCATTGCAAGATAGAAACATAGTATGACTTGCAAGTTAACAATATATGTGAAGTTTTAAATAGATCAATTTTGGATTATATAGATAAGTCAGTCATCACACTACTAGAAAGAATTAAGAACTATATAACACTGAGGATTTCCACTTAAAAATATGTTTTATGTAGGTGCAAAGATATTATATGTCCTAAAATACAACAAGTATTGAAAAAGACAAAAAGGGCAACAAATGGATGGAATCCAACATGGGATTCTAATGATGACTTTGCAATACTTAAGGTATCAAATGGTGTTGAAACATATGTTATTAATTTATGGCAAATGAAATGTTCTTAAAAGAGATAAAATTTAATATGGATATCATGTAGGCATGTTATCGCATGCATATGGTATAACAAGAAGGATCCAAAAGATTATGTTTCATCATATTATAGGTAACACATTATGATATTGTATGCATTTGTTATTATGTTAAAAAAAAAATTGGGTTAATAAGTATTTTGCCTCTGTCATATAGGTGAATTTTGAAAAGAAAAAAAAACCAATAAAAAAGAGGTTTGAATTGCCTCCCTAACATAGGAAGATTTACTTATTTTAGTCCTTCATTAAACCCAGCAACTAGAATCTTTAACTTGGCTGCCTTTTTTTTTAAAGGTGATTTTCCTGCTAGTGTATGGATCTTTTGAAAAACATTTACTATTATTTACAACAGGTTATGTCATTCTACAGTCGATTTAAATGTTGGACTTCTATAGGGAGATCATTTATGTCCGGGGAAATACAAATATTGGACTTTCATAAGGAGATCCTTTATGTCCTAAAAAGGCAATACAAATATTGGACTTCCACAAGGAGATCCTTGTCACGCTAAAAAGACAATATAAATTTTGGACTTCCACAAGAAAATCCTTTCTTCCCTAAAAAGGCCAATAAGAATGATATATTTTTCTTTTAAAAACTTTACCACTCCCTAGGAAAACCTAAATGCTAATTTCCCATGAGATATCTCCTACATAGACCGGTCAACCTCGAGCCTTCCTTGAGGGACTCAAATCAAGTCTCGCTAGAGGAACTCAATTGAGAATCTCGCATAAGAGACTCAACTCAAAGTTTTTCCAGAGGGACTCAACTGAGAGTCTCCCATGAGGGACTCAACTAATAGTTACACTTGAGGGACTTAACTCAAAGTCTCACTTGAGGGAATCAACTCAGAGTCTCGTTAGAGGGACTTAAATAAGAGTCTCTCCTAAGGGACACAACTCAAAGTCTTGTTAGAGGGACTCAACTTAAAGCATCGCTTGATGGACTTGACTTAAGTCTCACTGTAACAGCTCAAAGTAAAAAAAAAACAAATAAATCACTTTGCCCCTTCCAAACCCCCGTGCTTGAGAGGTTGTGTATTGGTATATGTGTAAAAGAACCACACTAAGGTGACATAGAAGATCCACTAAGGGGAAGTGATATAACATGTTGCATTCACCAATCTCATAGTCACCTATTTATTTGAATGGACGTCCATTTTTGGGTTATGTTTCCCATTTCTTCGATAACTCGCCAGACTCGCAAGAACGTGGGAAGTGACGTGTCCCCAATCCACAACAATGCAAAGAGAGGGTCTAAAGGGGAAAACACATTAGAAGTGACATGTTCCTCAAAGGATATAAAAATTCTCTCAAAGGTTATTTGTTAACACTCAAAGCACATAATGAAAGCTAGCATTACCATAAGTTTGACAAAATTCTCAGAACCACACCTAAAATACATGCACACAAATATCAAGAAGAATTTATTTAGGTTGTAACATGGCTAAGCTAAGGGTGGAAAAAATGTAAGGACACTAGGCTAAAAATCTAGAAGAATAAAAGACAATTGAAAGAAGAATGAAGGTTAAACTCTACACTAATTTGTAATTTTCAACTTCTGTTATACATTTCTTTTTTTCTCTTTTTCTTTTTTGTATTTAAAAGAGCTAAGAAAAAAATATAATACTTTCATTTTATTTTCTTTTTTCTTTCTTTCTTTTTTTCATTCTTTTTTTTTTTCATTCTTTTGTAAGTATAGAGTGCAACCTAAGAGGCAGTTAAATTAGGTTTTCTGGAATTTTTTTTATTTAAAGTAAAAATTCTTCCCTTTTAATTTTTCTGGAATTAAGTTATTAAACTTAAAATAAAAATTACAAGAAATTAAAAGGCAAGAAAATAAATGACACAATCACACAAGGATATATTTTAGTTCTCCTTATCAATCAAAGGTGCATCTAATTCCTTCACACATTAAAGGATTTTTCACTGCATTTGATCTTTGTACAAACCTCACATCAAGACTTCTCTTAAATTTTTCTAACATAAACATTAAACCTATGGCAGACTTTTAATCTCCTTGAATCAAAGAATATTTTACACAAAACATCAGACACTGTAGTGGACTTTGAATTACACCAATCCAAAGAACCTTTTACAAGAAATAATTTATCACCACAAACTTGGTAATTAATTTACAACACACACTTTTAATAATCTTGAATAAAGTTGATCTTGACTTGATTACAAGTATAACAATTTGTTCTTAACTTTCTCAAAATTATAATCCAAATTAATGTAAATTAAGTGCTCAGAATATGGTATGAAACTTTTGAATGATTTAAAAGAGATGTACAAAATTTCATGACTTAAAGATTTTTGAACACTTAAAAAAATATGTTTGGATGTATGAAAAGATTTATGAAAGAGGTAAATCTCAATTCTTTTATGAGAACATCTTATATACATCATGAACCAATGTTATTAAAGGATGCACAAATTTAAAAACAATTCATTAAACATTGTTATGAAAATATGTACAAATTTGAAAACAATAGCATTGTTATGAAAATATGTACAAATTTGAAAACAATTCATGAAGCATTGTTATGAAAATATGTACAAGTTTGAAAAACATTCTATGAAGCATTGCAATGAGTTAGAAACATTTTGAAAATGAAAAAATACATTGCTTATTGGTATTTGAATATCATAATGTGGTAATTGTTAAATATAATTCATTGTGTAAACAAATTTAATTTGATATCATATGATTAGATTTGATATCATATGATTAATTTAATATGATATGATTAGATATCATATGATTAGATTTGATATCATATGATTAGATTTGATTTAGAATATTTTGGGCCTTTTATGTTTTGGGCTAGTGTAAACCTAAAACTATAAATAGGGTGTCTTGCTTTGTATTCTACATCACAACAGAACAGATTTCACAGTTGCAGTTAGCAAGTGAAAGTTCAATAAGAAATTCCACAGTTGTGGGAAACACATTCTCTCCAAATACTTCTTCTCTCATTCTTCTCTTTCTTGTTTGTTATTCTTCTTCTCTTTTGTTGTTCTTGATAATTACTTGTTATTACCATCATTATCATATTGTGGGTTTGTTCATCAATCTTGAGATCAAGATTGAAGGGAATTCTTCATAGGGTGTGAGGTGAATT